TTTTTATATTTTTCAATATATTTATTTTGTTTGTACAAAATAAAAAAATAATTTTTAACGATACAATAGTCTTTGTTAGGCTTAACATCGACGAAAATTCAACGCGAAGCGACACGCAACGGAGAAAAATTTCAACATCGGATATGTTAAACTATTCTTTCGTACATAAATCGGTTATCCGAAATATCAGTTATACGAACAACCCCAGTCCCCAATTGATTCGGAAAATCAACGCTCTACTGTAGTTACTTAAATTATAAATAATTTTTGATAAATCATGTAACAGTAGTTAATAAAATAGTAATAAATATTCAAAAATTTAAAAACAGATAACACTTACTTTTTAATTTTTTGCTGTTCAGCTTTATAACTTCGCCACCTCCGCTGTATCAAAATTGCAGCACTGCGAATTCTCAGATAATGTCTTCTCTCTCGAAAACTACGGTAGCAAGATTGTATTTTGATAATTTTCTTTCTTGCGTCAAGATAGCATTTTTTTTGATGATATCTTCTGTACCAAGATTGAATTATAACTGCATTAAGGTTCTTATAAAATAAAACTTTTGACTGTAAATCTGATGTTTGCATATACAGTTTAGCAAAACTTTTCAGAGGAGGACGTTTCATGCAATCAAATAATCGTTTGCACAGAATCATTTTATACCACGATTGTATTTTCACAGCAGCTTTTGCACGCAAATAATGAATTTCTAGAAGAAAAAACGAAACTGTAGGTCTCAATACACAAGTTGAATAGAGTGTTTTAATTTCTTTCACAATTTGGTATTTAATATAAAATCTCTGGATGATTATTGCAGCTTTCCATTGCTTTATAAATTCTGCTTTTAAAGTTCGTTGTAGTAGTATTGCTTTCCATCTTTTCTGTACAATAATTGAAGCTTTCCTTAAATTTAAAAATTCTCTTCTCGTTTTTAGTGTTCTGAACTTTCTCTGAATTACTTTTGCTGCATTCTCCCGTCTTTGCCTGTGTTTATGCAGTAAACATCGTCGCCACCATGCCTGGATAACAACACATGCCTTTTTCATAATTAAGTATCGTTTCCTGTGAAAATTTCGCTTGATTGTAGCTTTAAAATATCTTTGTAATGTAATGACAGCATTTCTTGTTTGCAAATATTTTTTCTTTTCTTGTTTCATGCGATAAATGGCCTGCAATCTCAAACAGGCTTTCTTTGTCTTCAGATAGTTATTTCGAACCAGACGCATCCGAATAAGAGACTGAATCTTGATAATGGCCATTAAATATCTTAATTTTCTCTCTTTATAAGACTTATATGCTCTTTCTATTATACCCACAGCTTTCTTCCTTTGAAGGTATTCAAGATGCAGCTGTTTTTCAAACAGGAATCTTCTGAAGCATTTCTGTATAATGAGAACAGCACTGTAAATTCTTCTATATTCTCGAACAGCTTTCTTTCCCTTATACCAAGCTTGAATTTTAATTGCAGCTTCTTGATGCTGCAGAAATTTTTTCCTAGCAATAAATCTTCGAACTGTTGACTGTATCTTAATGACCAAAAGCCTCGTCTTTTTATAATTTTCATGTACTTTCCTACCATAATAGTATGCTCGAAAATGCCGTTGAATAATTACCGCACTCTTTTTCATCTTACATAATTCCTTTCTATGTATATATGCTCGAAAATAGGATTGAATCAATATGCAGGCACTTTTCTGTCTGACATACTGTTGATGCACTAGCACCATTCTAAACCAAGACTGTAAAGTAATCGTAGAATTTTTAATCTTCACATACTTATTCCTTTCTTCCTTGCCTTTTAAATATGCTCTATAATATGTTTGTATCACAACTGCTGACATATTCATTCTTTGAATCAATTTTCTACAACTATAACCTCTCCACAAAGATTGAATTTTTATACAAGATGTTTTTTGTGCTATATATTGTTTCCTCTGTATTCTCATTCTTATGTATGCTTGTAATTTAATAGAAGATGCACGCAATAAAAGGAACTGATTTCTCATTTGCAGCGCTTCTCTTCTGATGCGAAAATGTTGTTGTAATGTAATTGCAGCATTAAGCACTTTTAAATATCTCGATCTCTGTTGATACATGCGTACCATCGATTGAATTTTAACAGCAGACCTCAAAAGTTTTTTGTAGTTTTTCTGAATTAAATATCTCCTAACATGAGACTGAATCATGATAATAGCTTTCAACTGTCTAAATTGTTTTCTGCACACAAAACCTCTATATGCTGACTGAATTGTAAGTACGGCAGACTTTTTTCTTATATAATCCTCTCTCACTTTCTTACCAATTAATTTAGCTCTATATTGTCTTTGAATAGTAATAGCAGCATATTTTTTCTCAATATAAACTTTTCGCACTTTCTTAGATTTCCATTGAGACTGAATAAAAATGGAATATTTTTTTAATTTCAAAAATTCTTCTCGCTGGCATCTCATCAGTAAAACAGATCTATAAAATTTCTGAATAGAAATGGCTGCAGCATGCAATTTTTTAAAACTGCGTCGTACTAACCAACTTCTTATTGAAGACTGTAGTATAACTGCCGCTTGCCGTTTTCGTAGGTAAACTTTTCTCTGATAGTAACCTCTATAAACTGACTGAATCATTATTGCAGACTCTTTCATTTTAATGAAAGTTTCTCTCTGTTTTCTGCTAAGTACCTGAGCAATTCGAATTTTTTCTATTACACTAACAGAGTATTTTAATGATAAATATCGCTTCTTTGTCAAAAACATGCGAACAAAAGCTTGAATTGTAACAACAGCCATCTTCTGTTGTACAAATTCTTTCCTCACTACATAACATCGAAATAAAGATTGAATAAGAATGGTAGCTCTGTAAATTTTAATATAATTCTCTCTTTCTTTTTTTCCAAGCAGATATGCCTTCCATCTTTTTTGTATAACCATTGTTGCCCATTTTGTTTTGTTATATTGTTTTCTTGCTTTTAAACCTTTAAAAGCTGCTTGTATAATAACAGCAGATTTTCTAATTTTTTTCCATTGTTGTTGACAAACCCATTTTCTTACATATGACTGCACTAAAATGATTTTATTTTTATAAATAAGGTATTTCTCTCTCTCTTTTCTCATTAACAAAGTAGCCCTCCATCTTCTCTGAATATTCATAACAACTTTTTTGGTCCTATTAAAGGTTTTTTGGGCTGTGTATTGTCTCACATATTTTTGTATTATTATAGCAGCCTGTTTTTTCTTTAAATATTCCCTTCTAATTCTAATGCCTCGAAACCAATTTTGAATTTTTACAGCAGCTTTTCTTAATGACAGATATTCCTCCCTGACTAACCTGCCTTTTAGAATTGCCCGATATCTCTGCTGAATTGTAATGATGGCAGTTTTTGTCTTTAAATAATTTAATCTAGCAATCCACATCCTTGTATATGATTGTAAAATAACTACCGAAGTGTATAGACCCCTGTATCTTTTCTGTTCAATTATCCTCTTGAAATGGCTCTGAATTAAAATTACAGATTGTTTTAAGTGTAAATACTTTTTTCTTTCTAGTTTGGCAAGTTGTAATGAACGGAAATAATTCTGTATACTGAGTATGGCTTTATATATCTTCTTGTATTTTTTTTGGGCTAGATAACGACGCACATGTGCCTGTAACAAAATGGTAGCACTTTTCTTTCTGTCTAACATTTTCCTAGCTAAATATCCTCTAAATGTTTTCTAAAAAAAAATAAAAAAAAAAAATATTAAATCATCATTTGTTATTTGAAACTAAAATGTCAAATATTAAATTTACCTGTTATAAGAGACTGTTTATAGCAGTGTATGAGTATTAATTGCAATTTTTTCATTGTGTTATAGAAATTGCATTATAGTAACCTCGCCAATTTTTTTGTATTATGAGGGCAGATCTTAGTTGTTTTTCCATCTTTCTCTTGGCAAGAAATTTTCTTACACAGTTTTGTATAANACAAAATGGTAGCACTTTTCTTTCTGTCTAACATTTTCCTAGCTAAATATCCTCTAAATGTTTTCTAAAAAAAAATAAAAAAAAAAAATATTAAATCATCATTTGTTATTTGAAACTAAAATGTCAAATATTAAATTTACCTGTATTAATATAGCCATTTTCTCCTGGTGTTGTTTTATCTTCTCTAATCGTATATTATTTATCAGCCGCCTTGCTCTGTAACCTCGCCAATTTTTTTGTATTATGAGGGCAGATCTTAGTTGTTTTTCCATCTTTCTCTTGGCAAGAAATTTTCTTACACAGTTTTGTATAATGATAGCAGCTTTTCTTTCCAGCTAAAAAGGAAATTTACATATTATGATATAAATAAAATTTATTCATAATTTAAAAATTCTTATTCTTAAAAACCTACAATGATTTAAAATTTACAGTTATATAAGACTAAATAATCATCATAAATATATGGTGAAAGAAAAAAATGTGCAAGATGATCCCACACTTCTTACATTGTAAAACATTTAACTATTTTCTTATCAAGGGTGAATGTGTATAAAATCTTCAACGAGTACAGGTAGCAGAAATGATTAAAAACTATTGTTTTAATCCAAATGTTTATGGTAAAGGTCAGCATTTAACAGACAAACAGAGCACACACCCCTTCCTGGAATTGAGTAAAAGATTCCACAAATTATAGTTGTAAAAGTAATTGAGATATGTGTCCTTACATCTGTGACCATAGAATGCTTTGTCTGCCTTTAATGCTGTATTCTATAATCAATTTGTGAAAAACCCCAAAAAATTAAATAAAAATTTAATGATGTACAGTAATTATTTGTTTCTTAGCTTTGCCCCTGGAAAATTTTCTGCAGATGGCCATGCCTAGTACTACTTTATTTGTCAAGCAGTATATTATAATTTCTATAAGAAGCAATTATTCAATCCCATTTTCTTTCTATTTCACATTTATAACAACAGATTAATAAATGGAAATAGTATTTTATTTTATAATGGTGTGTAAATACATTTACTTACATTTCATAACCTTTATTAATGTAAAAACATCATTTAAAACAAAAAGTTTAACAATAAAACTAAAAATGAGGATCAAATAACTGTGAGGACCCGAACAGGGGTCGACTGAGAGGTCCGAATTATGGGTTCGATCGAAAATAAAGAGATCCTTTTCAGACGATTAAGCAATGTCTCGATTAGGTGTCTCGATTAAACAATGCAATTGTTTTTTTCGTAAATTTGTTAAACAATGGAAACGGATAAATTCGAGGAAAATGCGACGAGAGAGAGGAATCATATTCAGTCNGTTTTGTACTTTTTCAAAATCGTTGAATTTACTTAAACTCCAAATTGGCGACGCATAACCCAGCGAATTCATAATGATAGTATTGAAGAGTTGGAAATGTATTTGTAGATTTTTCATTTTGGTCTTACAAAACAGGATTATTAAATTATTTATTAAATTGTTAGCCTTATTTATTGATCTTTTATAGTGTTTATCAAATGAAAGATTAGGAGTAAATATTACTCCCAAGAATTTGACTTCATTAACTGTTTTTATTTCTTCAGCTATGTTTAAATCGAAAATATTAGAAATGCATTTGCCTAGAAGTTATTACTCGATGTGCCATTAAAAAGTTTAATTGAAAGTTTTGAGTCTGGCATTTTAATATGCAATTAATGAAGTAATGCAATTATAAAAAAAATTTATCATAATTAACAAGGTTCCAAAAACAGAAAACTTAAGTAAATATTACAAAAATATCATTACATGATGGGAAAATGATACAGTATCAAAAATTTCTTCCAGAAACTACAGAACGGTAGCAGTTTTATCACCAAAAGAGGTGCATGTAACAGATGTCTGATTCACTTACTCTGCGAGCTCTGACAACCCATTGTAGATTTGGTTATGTCAATAACGAGGACAATCACAAATGGTGAGGAACGAATATATTTGGGTTGACTCACCCATGTAAAATTTCCGAACTAATTTAAATTCAAACTCTAAGCTGGGATCTCTGAAGCAGATGCCTTTACTTCAGTGTCCGTCTGGCTGTCATAGTATGTCAGCTAACAAAAGCCATCCAATATATTAACATAGAGGCAGTTATGAATTACCATTTTGCATATGCTGGATTGATAATGGAGGAGAATGTTTTATAATTTATGTACTATTTGATTGACGAAAGGAAATACGTGACACTGGTAAAGAACACTGTTCTGAAATTTTTTTGATGATGTTTGTCTCTATTATTTTGGTTTCATGATTAAGTTAGTCACTTTGGGATAATTTTTGTGTTTAATAAACATTATTCAGATAATTGTATTCTATCTTTAGACAACAACAGATATAATCCAAACCAGTAATTTTTTGTTCTACACTTATCTTCATATTGAAATCATCAGTTATTAAAGAGAAATATAAAAACAAATACAAAATTTTGTTGTAACAGCAACAAATTTCAATTTAGATTGAATTATTTAGCCTAATAAATAGGGTTGTAATAAATTGGATAATAAATTTGAGGGGGGTCTTGGTACCCGAAATGCATTCCTACTAAAATTTGATTGAGGTTAATTAAAGGCTATTTTTAGTAAAATCTAATCTATTTATTCCAGTCAGCCCGATGTGAAAAGCCCTCCAATTTATTACAACCCTATTTATTAGGCTAAATAATTCAATGTAAATTATACTTGTGGGCTAGAAGTGTTATTTAATATTAACAAATTTCAAGTTTGATCACAATATATTTATATTTACAGATCTTAAAATTTATTAAATTGATGATAAATGTAAAATAATTTTCCAATTTTACAAATATTTCATTCTATAAGCAGTAAAAGAATATTAAAAATGATCTTTACCTGTATAGTAGTAGCAGATCTGTAAAGTTTATTCAGATGCATTCTCGTTAACCACGACCTTGTGACAGCCTGTATAGTGATGGCTGCACGATGCCTAACTTCCAGGTAATTTCTGGCCGCTTTCTGAAACGCAATTATACTTTCACGTAACTTCAGATACCGAATTCTTGCAAGCTTGGCTTTAAAATAACGCTGAAAATAAATTATGTGCATGAAATGTAAGATTAGTTAACAAACATTTAATCATTACAAAACTTTTACTTACTTGAATTACAATTACAGCATTTATTTTTATTTCCATTAATTTTTTACATTTATAATGTTTGTAGCATCTCTGAATACGAATGGCATAAATATGAACGTGAACGCAGCAGATAAATCTGTGCAATGCCACATGACGTTCCGCTTCGGGCAACTGATAATAAGAATACAATATTCAAAACTTTGTTTTAAAAAATGTAATTATTAAATAAATAAATAAATACCCTGATATCTTTTAGATCTGTATAACAATTATAACTACTTTGGAGAAGATTGCTCAAACAGTTTTCTTTCACTTGAGTAATGTCGATATTTGTTAAGGAGCATTTCTTTAAAATCTCCATTAGTAATTCTCGTTCCTGTTTTTCTTGCAGTCTTTTCATTTTAATTCTTCGATACCATGCCTGAATATGCAAAATGGCTTCTTCTATCCTGTTAAAATCACTATATTTAGCAATTTGTATTACAGAAATAATGTGTCATTATTTCTATGTAATTAGCTTGTTTATAAACATTCTATATTTGTAAATTCTGTTAATAGAAACTAAACAACAATCAATTTTTTTACATAAAACAGAAATTAAGTACTTTAGTTACAACAGTCAGATAACAAATGCAATAAGTGTCAGCCTATCGTTACAAAAGGTTTTCATTTGGATCAAATTCCGAAATTTTAACTAGTGGTTTGAAAGGAATACATTGGGATATATCTTTGCTACTGGTTCTAATTGTGGAACTAGCCAAAACCATGAAAGGCATGCATATAACAGACCTCATAATGCCACGTTATGTTAATATAAGATATAGACAATTTTAAATTTGAGAAAATATTTTTCTTTGTGCAATGTGTGTAAATTTTTATTACAAATTTCATTTAATTTTATCTTATTTATTGGGTTGCAATTTCCAGATTACAGACCTATATCTTCTCACTGTCTGTCTCCCTGCATTAATCTTGATAACGGAGTTAGATTGATGATAATCAAGACTAGATACAGAAAGCTTAGGGGACGGAAGTCCCAATTAACTGTATACAAACTTACAATCTGGATTGGAAGTCACTTGATTTCAATTAGACATTTTCTAAAGAATGAAAGTTAAAAGTTACTTCTCACCTGGTACTGGTCCAATTTACTTAATATAAACACACATAAAAACCTTTACTTGACCAGTAAAAATATATTTAATGAAAACAACTAACGTTTTCGACTGCTTTCTCAGTCTTCCTCAGGTTTTAAATTCTGATATTCGAAAATCGTTGTGCTTAAATATTTAAACATTTTGGAACATATACATCTTTGCGTATAAAATTCATTACGTGCATGCGTATTAGTCATTACGTACGTGAACCCAAATATTCACAAATATTATTTTACATATACATGTAAACGATGTATAACACCTTACATAGAGTTGTGGGGGCATTCTGCTTCATACGCAAACCTCCAAGCTGCCGAAATATTAATAGCATCTTTATAGTTGATACAGCTATTACGTAATCCTGCTTTATAAATTTCCAAAGCTTCTAGCGTTCGTACGTGTTCTCTTCTGTGTGACATTTTAATGATTTGCGCGTTCTGCAAGTTAGCACTTATGCCAGGGGTCGAAGCATACGTAGATAGGGCAGTGGTGCATCTGTTGTGTTCAATGTCATATTTGTGTTCGCGCATACGTTTATCCAGAGAGCGTATGGTGGAGCCAATATATATAAGATCCCTTTGAAATCTATGGTCTCTTAACGGGACAGAATACACTCCCGGTGCATACCTTTCGTCTATGTTGTCTTTGCTATTGCGCAGAATGTTGTAAATAGTATTGCGCCTCTTATATGCTATTCTTTTGTTTATACGCTTCGCAATTTCTCTGTAAATCGGATCTAGGTGGCGGTTATATTCAACCACCGCTACACACTGCAAATTATTCGAGTTGTTCGTGCGTGAGCTATCGTTGTATACACGTGATGAGTAGGCCAACGCCAGGTTTTGAATTAATCTTTTCCCATACCCATGTTGTGTGGCTATGTTCTGGATGTGTTGTAACTCCGCTAATGTATCTTCAAAGTTTGAGTGGTGTGTGAAAGCTCTCTTGGTTAGGGCCCGGAATGCTGCGACCTTGTACGAAAATGGATCATCCGAACTGGCAGGGATAAATCGAGGTGTGTAGCATGGCTTGTAATGGACCCTAG